CTGCTTCCCCTATCTGTTAATCACTCATTTTCCCTAACCAGAACCTGTTACTTATAAAGTCAAATTAATTCTTCAGAGATGTCTGGTTTGTATTTTTAAGTGAAATATTAATTTTCTCTTTTCCTTATGTCCTTTGCATAATTTACTTTAGAGCAATGTCCTTTTTGTATAGACACAGGAAGACAGTTAACGCTATGCTTTTGTAACTTGGGAATTAATTGACTCTGAATAATATTTAATCTTGGGCATCTGTCATATTTACTTGACAAAAGCCTCAGTTTCCCTTAGTTCCTAGCACCCCCAAAACAGGGTCCTGATGAAGGGACTGGATGGATCCAGGGAAAGTGGTAAGTTACTCTGGCATTGAAGCAGGACAAGCCAAGTGCCATATAACTTATAATAAATTAAAAGCAGGGTCATGGACAAATTCTGTCATGACCCGAAGAGATGTAACTGGACAAGGACATTACCCTGTGAGGTTAGGAAGGACTTATCTGGCCTGAGGACTGTAGTCTGGAATCCATAGGAGAAGTCCCCAGGAGAGGCACCCTATAAACTTATTTATCTCTTACTGTATCCATACAAAATGACTAGAAAGATTATTAGTGAGTAAATTTAAGATGACCATTTAAATGTAAATGGACTAAGGAAAGGAGAAACATGCCCTTAGATGAGATGAAATTCTGCTCCTGAGTGGATCTCCTAGCAGGATGACATCTTTGTCTTAGAAGAACTTCCCTGGAAGTAAGGGCTTTCGTATGTTGATTGTGCTACCTCACCTATGTGGAATTGCTGCCACCAACCCTGGTTGTGGTACTCTTGAGACTGTGAGACTGGATCTGGGCAAAGGAAAACTACCATGGGGAACTACCATTGGGCTGGAGTGATAGCACAGCGGGTAGGGCGGTCGCCTTACAAGCGGCCAACATGGCCGACCCGAGTTCGATTCCTCCGCCCCTCTCGGAGAGCCCGGCAAGCTATCGAGAGTATTTGATATGCCAAACACAGTAACAACAAAGTCTCCAATGGAGACGTTACTGGGCCCGCTCGAGCAAATTGACCATCGACGGGAGGGCCTTTACCTTTTTCTTACCTTTACCCATTAATTTATCAACAGGTGTTTTCATATTTTGACTTTTGTAAGTAAAGCTGGTGACTGAGTCCCATTACACAAGGATTTCTTCCCAAATATGCCCAGATTACAAGTGAGGGAGCTGGGATTTAGCCTAGTCAAGTTTGCTCCAAAGCCCATATTCATTACCCTGAAGCTAAGGTCTCCTCTCCTTATCTTGCAGATTAATATGAGGAAGTCACAGTGGAAGGAGCATAAATAAATACTTACAACAGATGCTCAAATAAATTCTGATCACCATCTGTTGTTAGGTATAGAGAGAAAGCAAGATACATAAGAACTATATTTCACTCCCAAGAAGCTCAGTTGTCAGGGTAACAAAGACCCTGATGTCCATATGATTATGCATAAAGTAAGGAAGGTGTTGAAAGTGCTAAGGCACTGATAGAAAGTCCTGTGAACTTTTCAACAGAATCGTTCTGGTTTGATTACTCAGGAATAATTGCTGAGGTGGTGACATAAAGCTGTGCCTAAAGAATAGAGAATGAGGAAGAACAATCCAGAAAAACAGGTGGCCTGAGGCAGAGCTGATGACTTCTAACTGAGGGACTCAGATGTTTACACAGGGAGGATAGGTTAAGGGTCCTTTTGGGGGATCAATGTTTCCCATCTGCTTAGAGACTGATCTTTCAAGGGTAAGTTTGACAAAGGGTGGGAAGGTAAGAGACAAGTGAAGAATACTGATAGAACTGTGAGGAATGGCCGTTCTCCTGGGCTGAGACAGTGAGAGAGACTACCCCCCATGCAGGCAAGAAGAGCAGAGCCAGACCGCAGGTGTCTTAGAAGTAATGGGAGAAAGAGATTCAAAAACATCGAGAGGACAATGATGCAAATAGCACAGTCACATATAGAGGAAAGAAAACTCAAAAAAATTTGAGAGCTTTATAATTTAGGAAACAATGTTTGCCCTTCAAGGAAGTTGTTTCAGTGAAAAAATAGACCAATTAGGATGGCAGGACTAGTGCTGGGAGGTGGATTATCATCCTCCTGAGAGACAGAAGGAGCAACCCATCCACCCTCCCCGCAGAAGATGGACACATACACACACACACATACACACACACACACGTATGTATTTCCCAAAACTTTCTAAAATTGGCTCTAGAGAGAAAATAACTGGAGAAGGGGAAGGCCCAAGGACAGGATGTTGCTGGCTTGCTCTTGCTGCTGCTGAGCACTGTTAGTCTATCCTAGAGAAGCAGTTACCACCAGAAAGAAACTGGAGTGCGGCATCTAAGGTTCCCAGATTGGATGCTTCCAAATGGATCATAATTGTGTATTATTTTGCATGAAACCCCAACTGCCAGTTTCATCCACAGTTAAGGATCTGGTACATTGCTTCTCTGCTAAGAAGGATGCAGTTCATTTGGGCTGGTCCCATCTCAAAACATCACTAGGCTCTCATGTAGACTTGGCTGCTAATGCTGTTCTCAGACTTCCTTGCCGTACCTTTGCTTCACTTATTTAGCTGCCTTTTTTGTGGGGAGGGGGTCACACCTGGTGATGGTTACCCCCTGGCTCTGCATTCAGGAATTACTCCTGGCTGTGCTTGGGGGACCATATGGGATGCTGGGAATCGAACCCAGATCAGCCGCGTGCAAGACAAACGCCCTAACCACTGTACTATCACTCCAGCACCCCTCACTTACTTTGTTATGAATCTGTAATAAACTCAGAAACACTATTGGGATGCCTCAGCCAGGATGAACCAATCAGCAAGGACGCCCCCTAGGACATGGCTCAGAATGACCTGGGACAAATCTGATGCTAGAGCAACACTCCACCCTTTGGGATACACAGGTTCAAGAGAGTCCCACCTTTTGGTGCTTCACTCTGACTGGTTTGTACATTTTGAACAAAGGTTGTCAATCATTTTGATCCTTGCCCTCTTTTGTTTCCTGCACCCAAGCCATGTCCTTTCTTATCTGAAGGTTGCCCTGGGTCCTAGTCCAAGCTCCTATCATAGGTAACCGGGTTTGCCCTGCCATGCCCAGGGCTGCTGTGCAAGCAGTCAGTGTCCGTCAGACTAGGGACCAGCCTGGCTTCCAGGAGGAAAGACAGGACGTTCTTCTGGAGCTTGTCCTCTTCCCAGAGGCACAGTAGTGCTGATTCTGGGTGCCACAGATTCTGCCCTCCGTGGGTTTCCATGTGGGAGCAGCTGTGCCCAGCGGGATTCAGAAAGCTCTGCCGGTCCAGCTCTCTCTCTCTCTCATCCCCAGGCACCAAGGACAGCAGGGAGTCCCTGGTACTGCCTTTGGCTTGTCACTGGGTAAGTGCAGCCCTGCCTTTCTCTAGCGAGGACATCGTCTCACTCCTATACTCTTACAAACTATGGGGGTGCTTCCGGATCAGAGGGAAAACTGTCTCTTAAGCAGTGCCATTCTTTAGGGGCTTCCCTGGAGCTGAGTTTCAAGCCCGAGAAGGACTGACTTGCCGGCCCGGTGCTCTGAACGGGTTCCCCAGACAGGGTCGGGGCAGTTTAGAGCTCAACAGCGCCGCCTCCTGGACGTTCGCGGTCAAGGGCTACAGCCAGGGGCGGTAAAGGATGTTTCAGAAAAAGAATAAGAAAAAGTTGGCAACTCTGAGTTGTTTCAGACCCACCCCTCCGCATTCCTGTAGAGTGAATACGCGGAAAGGACCGGCGTTGCGAGATTCCCATCTCCTCCCAGCTCTCCCTACGGGCCCGAGGTCCGCGCCGGCTCAATACCGTTGTCGCGCCAGTGGCATTGACAGCAGCTCCTTATCTGATCTCAGCCCGAAGGGAAAAACGCCTGACAGAACCCGCGTGGGCTGTGCTTGGGAACGCGGGTGCGTGCTCCGAGACAGGCTCGGCCGCGGAGATGAAGCGTGCCCTGAAACGGGACATAGAGACAGATCCGAGTCCCAGCAGCGCTCCCCGAGCGCCGCCCTGCGGGGCGCGGGTGCTCAAAGACGGGACACCACACACCCTCGACGACCCCACGGGACTAATGAAGCCTCTGGCTCCGCACGCGGGTTCGGAGCCTGGCGGGTCCCCAGCTGAGAGGGAGGCGCGGGCGTGAGCGCCCCCCATCTCCCCGCGCACCGAGGCACAGCCTTGGCCTCCAGGCACCCGGCAGCTCCGGGCCCTGGTTTCGCGTCTTCAGTGGCGCAGAGTCCCCTGCCCGCATCCCGAGTGTCTTCCCGCAGCACCTTCTTCCGGGGCCCTGCGAATCCTGCACACCTCCACCGCCCCCGAGTCCCCTGCCGGCCTCCCGGGGGTTTTCCCGCAGCACCTTCTCCCGGGGCCCTGCGAATCCTGCACATCTCCCCTGCCCCCGAGTCTCCTGCCCGCCTCCCGGGGGTCTCCCGCAGCACCTTTCTCCCGGAGCCCTGCGAATCCTGCACACCTCCCCCGCCCCCGAGTCCCCTGCCCGACTCCAGGGGGTCTTCCCGCAGCACCTTCTCCCCAGGCCCTGCGAATCCTGCGCACCTCCCCCACCCCAGGGATCCAGCGCCCCTCCCGACTGGCGTCCCCCTCCGGAGTCCTGCCACTCAGGCTGTCCAGGAAAGGGGCTGAGCAGGAAGCGGGGCAGGGGCGGCGCGCGGGGCGGGGTCACCGGGGCGCGAGGTGCTGGGCTCGGTCGGCGCGGCCCTCCCGGCGCACCCGCCGGGCTTACTCATCCCCGCCAAGGCCCGGGGCGCGAGGGCGGCGCGGCTCCTGACAGCCCAGCAATCCGAGGACGCGGTCTCGGCCCTTCCCACAGGCACTTCCTTCCCCTTCCCGAACGTCCAGGGAGGGAGGGCCACGCGCTTATAAACGCGCGCCCCGGCGGCCCGCGTGTCAGAGCCGCCTGCGTGGGCGCGTCCTCGGCCTCCGCAGCGGCTCCTCGCGCCCGGGCCCGGGAGACCCGCCCGGACAGCATGCTCGTCCTGCTCCTCGGGATCCTGGCCCTGGCCGGCTGGGGGCTGCCGGCGCCCACCGAGCCGCCGCCCCACGGCAGCCAGTGCGTCGAGCACGACTGCTTCGCGCTCTTCCGGCGCCCGGAAAGCTTCGCGGAGGCCGGCCGGTCCTGCCAGAGCCGGCGCGGCCACCTGATGACCGTGCGCTCCTCGGTGGCTGCCGACGTCATCGCCCTGCTCCTGAGCGGAGCCGGCGGGTCCGGGCTGCGGCTCTGGGTGGGCCTTGAGCTGCCGCCCGGCTGCAGCGACCCTGCCGCGGTCGGGCCCCTGCGTGGCTTCCGCTGGGTGACCGGCGACAACCGGACGAGCTACAGCAGGTGGGCTGGCGCGGCCGACGCGGCGCCCCTGTGCGGGCCGCTGTGCGTCGCCGTCTCGGCGGGCGCTGGCGAGCCGGCCTGGGAGGCACAGCGCTGCGACGCCGCGGCCGACGGCTTCCTCTGCGAGTTCCCCTTCGCGGCGTCTTGCCGGCCGCTGGCCCTGGACGCCGTGGCCGGCGGCGCGCACGTCACCTACAGCACCCCCTTCGGGGCGCGCGGGCCAGACTTCCAGACGCTGCCCGAGGGGAGCACCGCCGCCGTGGAGCCCCTCGCGCTGCAGCTGACGTGCCGGGCCGCGCCGGGGGAGGGCGAGGCGCGCTGGGGCCGAGAGGCGCCCGGCGCCTGGGCCTGCGGCGTGGACAACGGCGGCTGTGAGCACGCGTGCACCCTGAGCGCCGGGGAGCCGCGCTGCGTGTGCGCGGCCGACACCGCGCTGCAGCCCGATGGGCGCTCCTGCGCGGCGCGCGACGACCACGCGTGCCACCGGCTCTGCGAGCACTTCTGCGTGCTCAGCACCGACGCGCCCGGCGAGTACTCGTGCATGTGCGAGACGGGCTACCGGCTGGCGGCCGACCAGCACCACTGTGAGGACGTGGACGACTGCCTGTCGGAGCCAAGCTTGTGTCGCCAGCGCTGCGTCAACACGCAGGGCGGCTTCGAGTGCCACTGCTTCCCCGGCTACGAAATGCTGAACGGGGAGTGCGTGGAGTCCCAGGACCCGTGCTTCGGGAACGACTGCGAGTACCAGTGCCAGCCTGTGGGCGGGACCAACTTCCTCTGCATCTGCGCAGAGGGCTTCGCGCCCGACCAGCAGGACCCGCGCAAGTGCCAGATGTTCTGCAACAAGACTGCCTGCGAGGCCGACTGCGACCCCAACAACCCGGAGGTCTGTCGGTGCCCCGAAGGCTACATCTTGGACGAGGGTTACATGTGCACTGACATAGATGAGTGCGACAACGGCTACTGTTCCGGCACCTGCCGCAACCTCCCTGGCAGCTATGAGTGCCTCTGCGGCCCAGAGACTGCCCTCGCTGGCCAGGTTGGCACCGACTGTGATCCGGTTAAGGTGAACGAGGATGCAGGCTCCGGAGAGCCGCCCACCAGCCCGACTCCCAGCGCCACCTCCAGGCCCTCGCCTGCGGGGCCCGTGCACTCCGGGGTGCTCATTGGCATCTCCATCGCCAGCCTGTCTCTGGTGGTGGCACTGTTGGCACTCCTCTGTCACCTGCGCAAGAAGCAAGGCACTTCTCCGGCTGAGCTGGAATACAAGTGTGGGTCCCCAGCTAAGGAAGTGGTTCTGCAACAGGTGCGAACGGATCTTACAGCCCAGAAACTCTAAGGTGGACTGCCTCGTTGCTGGGCTTCCCAGGCCCTCTTTCCCGAACAGGCGCCCCCTAAAGCGCCCCAGCAGCCATCAGAACCCGAGAAGCCTCTGGGCTCCTTTCACTGAGCTGCATCTGTGCTTGGCTGAGGAGGAGGGTTGGAAGGAACGTGTGCCCTGCCTCTTACATGATGTCCCTGGAAACTGGGAAGAGGTGAGACTTTAAAATGAAGATACAGACTGCAGTGTCCCGTGCCATCACCCTGGACACCAGAGGGATGAATGTGACTTGGAAGCAAGCCCTAAGGCAGACTGTGATCCTGTGGGTGATGCACTAGTGAGTGTAACTGAACCGTGGATGATAGCTGTGATATTTATTTTTCAGGAATTTACATTTTCTCCTTTAATTTGCGTTCCTTCCCCCACCTGTGCGCTTCCAATGCTCACTCTGTACCCCTCTCCTCCTTCCCTCTTTCATCTTCCTTCTTCCTTATCTCTATATTTATATACTCCCACTAGGTAAGTGACAGTTAAAATATCTTGAGTATGCCTCTTCCCCTCCCAGTCCTGCCAAGTTGTTTTTCAGTGATGAAACAAAACCCATTTCTGTTTCCATCATTTCTCCTAATTTTTCTCTCCCAGTTTTTTCTCTCTAATCAACCAAATCTCTCCACCTATGTCTGACCTCACTTCTTGTCTGTCTAAGCACCCATGTGAAATGGAAATGAAAACACTAAAATCAAGAATGATAGAGAAGGGGTGATTCTCTCTTTCACTGGGTTTGCTATTCTGAACTTTCAGATTTTCAGAGCAATATCATTGAACAAAGATTAAGATGCATGTGTTAAATTAATGTTGTTAGATCATAAAAATTAAACCCAAGGAGTTTTTAATTTTTAGTTTTAAACAGTGAGCCTGGGTTTTGTTGTTATTGCTGTTTTGATTTGAACTGAAAGTTGGTAATTGTTATTAAGTAGATGTGCAGTTTCCTTTTCTACTATTATTATTATGAGTTGTTATTGAAATTTTTGAAAATGTTTGCATTATTGCTTTTAGATTGAGAAGGAAACACCTCCTAGGAGACAAGTTTAAGACAGTGTGAACTGCATGAATCATATAGCAGTCATTCTGACTCTCATTGCTTGTATAATGCACAGGCCAAAATAAAATATGCTCTACTCATTTAGGAGGATCTGGGAGCTTGGCATGGAACCAGGAGGATGCCCTGGTAGGGTCTCACCATGATTGAGCCTTGAGAATTTTTTCCATTTCAGAGAAGCATTGCAGCCCGAGTCATTGGAATGTGGTGGCTGGATAAGAAGTAGTGGTTCCCCTAAGAGGTGGCTAGAAATACAGAATCGGGTTCCATGGCCCTACTTCCTTCAAGATAGTCTATTTTAACAATACCTTCAGTGGGGTTGTCTCCACTGTATAGTTGAATAAAATCATCCCAGACAGTTCCTAACTTTCTGGGGTACGTTAAATGTGGATTAGTAATAAGTAGCAGGCCAAATCAGGCCCTTTGTTTTTCAAGAAACTGAGGAATTTTATTTTATAGCTTTGCTTTCTGATAGAAGAATAGGTACACACTTTTAGACATACAGAGTAGTTTGGTTGAACTAAGCTAGGAATGAAATTGTGCTTCTTGTAGAAAAATATGTATCAGATAGGAAAGTGTATTTTTGTGATAAAAATGTTTTCCTCCACTATTTTGTAAACTCAGCATATTTGTACATAGTTATTTATTTATGGAAATAGAACACAGGCAAAATCCTTGCTTATGACATCACAGGTAGAAAATAAACAAATAATAGCTCATACTTGTGTGATGCATCTGTTCAAAATGCCTCTTTTTTGTCATTATAAAGCCCACTGGTGGGCTTCCATCAATGCAAATACCAAGTATCTCTCCACACCCCAAAATTAGCTCCATCTGTACATGGCATCATCTCTGACTTTCAGCGATCTCTCTAGAAGTCATTTTATTGTAGGATAGTGTGTTACAACTGTGTGTACACATTAAAAAATATTTTTACCATTTTTACCATTTTGGAACCAGAGCAACTTCATATTCATTCAAGATTTGTATCTATGTGTTTCAAAAATATATTATCAGATTATTCATTAAGATGAATTCAAGAAACTCCTTCTTAGAGCATCTCTAGAATCACAGTCACATGAACTTCTGCATTTGGTTTGGCTTTATCTACACTGTAAGCTTTGAAACGCAACAGTTCTAAGGGGTCTGTCTGGGCGTCAAATTCAAATAGTTGTTTCTCCACACCAGGGTCTCATGTGGTATTAAATAAATTCTCCTTTCTTTTGAGTTTAGAAAGTATTTTTTTATACACATATTTCTTTGAGATCTTTTCTTGAGACAGTAGAGCTAACTAAATCTTATCGGTAGTGATATGAAAATTGCCATAAAGCATTAGTTGGAAGAAAATTCAAGTCAGACACACATTAACAACTTTCTATAGCCAGGTCTAGGCGTTCATGCCTAAAGTCTCAGCTATTTGGGAGACTGGGGTTAGAGGCTGCTTGAGTCCAAGAGTTCTGGGATAAGAACTCCAACTCTGAGATCAGTGTTCTCACTGTTGAGCTTAAATATGGCAACCCCTGGGAGTAGGGACCATCAGATTGTCTAGGGAAAGATGAACTGACCCTGTAGAAACAGAGAAGGTCAAAATTTCTCACATACCTGGATACTCTGTTTGTGTTTATTTTAATCCAAATTGTGAGATGCATTTGGAGAACGTAGCATCCACTGAGAAAAAGTGTCAGTTAATGGAGGGAATAAGACAGGGAAGACTTTGCCATACAGTGTCCCTGGGGGGAAAACGTGAAGCCATACCCTCTATGGAACTTGTGAGACAATGATTCAATGAGCAGGTGCAAATCAGGTCAATAAATTGGACCCATAGGTGCAGGTGATACCCTCACAAATTTGTCCTAAGGCATTCTTTCATTCCTAAAATAAAGGCTGCTTCTAGAAAACAGCCAAGCTTCTACAGGATCACTTTAATATTTCTTCTTACAGGACATGTATTTTCTTGAATGTAATAGAAAGACCAAGGCACACATTCAAGATTCAAAGGCAACAACCCTAAATTGGCCTCTTGGATCATAGAGCTACGTAGACTGGGGCCAGATCCTCTCTATGGCCCTCACATTCTGTCCTGTGGGAGATCAGTATCCCTACTTATAGACTCAACTATACTTGAGATTCTCCAAACTAAGAAACTACAGAATTTCTCTGAGAAAGATGCCTTGATCATATAAAAAACAGTTAACTACTATTTCTAAAAATATCCCCCAAAAGTTAAAATTAAAGTGGATCTAATTAAATAGGGGCCTTGGGTGGAGTGGGGTTACTTGCTGTCTTCTCAGCATTCTCTGTGCCGTCTTCTCAGCATTGCAATACCAAGTCTAAGAAGAAATCTAAGATTCCTTATCATCATTTGGTATATGTGCAATATAGCTTGTGTGCACAGGATCTGAGGAAAAAGACCAAGGTCTTTGGACAGGTCAGAATCTGATCTCAGGAATTAAATGGTTTTTTACCTCTAGACCATCCTCAGGTCTAGCTCCTTTTCTTGGATTAGTTTCAAGAATACACACCCAATGCCAGGCATATTGGTAGGTATGGTGATAAGCGCTCCTGACCCCTTATCCCCCAGAGAAACTTATACTCTAGTAGGGAGGGAAATATAAAACAAACATGCAGTTACTATGTACATTTAACTTAGAAGTAAAATAGTGGGGAGAACTGGGGAGATTTACTGCTCACCAGGGTTTCAGGATGCAACCTGAAGGATTGGAGAAAACTTCTATGATAAGCTGACATGGAACCCTAGACTTGAAAGAGAAGTAAGGGGGAGCCAAATGAAGAATGGAGGGAGAACAGTTGGATGAAGAAACGACATGTGCACAGGTCCTACACTAGCAATCCCATGCAGAGGACATGGAATGTGGTGAGTAAGAAGGGTAGGGTTCAACATGAGGCTGAAGAGGTGAAACTAGAGAGATGGAAGTGGAGGGGAAGTTGGGGCTTGGGGAGCAACTTAAAGATGTCGAATTTTAAATCATAGGTACATGTGTGCTACACAAGAACATGATGATATTCCATTGAAATCCTAAGATTATTGAGGGAAGGTAATCGCTACTTGCAGAGTTATTTACATGGGAAGGACCCTTAACATTGCATGGAGTGTAGGAGTCAAATACATCTGCATTTGCATCCTACTTGCAGTTGGTTATCACTTGTGACCCTGGTACCTATCCAATTCCTTTAAAGTTGTAAACCAGTCTGATAAAAGAGTCACCTCACTGGGTTTCTATGGGGACAAGATGAGATGAGTCCGGTCAGTTTCCAGTACACAGCAGGTGCCCAATACATGTCAGGTTAGGTGTATTCACTAGTAAATTAGTGAATAACAAGTGAATAAAGAAAAGCATTATGTTTTGATATTCAGCATCTTGATGGCAAATTTAAAGTCAAATATAAAGTAAGGTTCTTTTAAGGCAAGATGAAGTGCCTTGGAGGAAAATTGTCAATGTAGGAGACAGTGTCATGGTGGGATGTTTGGAGCATCAAGTGGAGTCTTGGGGGGGGGGGCTGTTTGCATGGGGGGAGCTGTAAAATCCTGCTTTAAAGGCCTAATCTCCCTGTTCACAAGGACTATCTATCAAAGTATCTGATTACACAGGTCCCTTCCATAATGCTTCTAAAGAAATCACACAGAGGGAACACCTTCTTTGTTTTCTCAGGGCCTAAAAGGAAAGAGAAAGCTGACTTGGGTGAAAGAAGAATTGTGACTGGGCACGGGGGTTATTGCCATCACCTCCCACTTCTTTCTCACTCAGTGGCATCAGATGGGTTCTCAAGATCAACAACATCAAAGAGGAACCTGCAAGAGAGGAAGTATAGGTTAGTTCAGAAACAAGGGCCCAGTTGTTCATGGACTCTTGCAGAGAGCTTACTCCACATTAGAAAGTTTCTTGCATCCTTCCTCCTCTTTTTTCCCCACCTTTTCCCCCCACTCTTTTCCCCATCAGAGTTCTCCAAGCATCCTGAGAGGAGACATTTTTTCCTCCTTGACACTTGCCGTGTCATCCCTTTGGGAACTCTCCTTACTGAGGATCCTCAGTATCATGGTTGAATCTCAAAGAGGGTCAGTTCTAAGCCAGGGCCAGAAAGCCTGGCTTCTCTTTACTTTTTAACAAACAGATTTTAAGGAAAACACACACATCTCTCTCCCAATACCCTGCTCATTCACCCCATGATTTGGACTTCTTGTGCTGCCCAAATCCTGAAAGTCATCTGGAATGTGTGAATAAACATAAAAGTAAGTGGTTAACTCCCACATCTCGCAACTTCAGGGTAGTGAAACTTAAGGGGTGTGATAGGAAGTAAGGCCATGCAAGGGAAGTGACTGTTCAGTCTGCTTGATCTCGTGTGGTAAACCTCTGCTCCATCACACTCTTCCTGAGGCCCCTGGGTGTGGACAGGTCAAGTAACAGAAGTACCAAAACTATAAATTTTTTTCAGGGTTCCCCTTTGCCTGTGTTAGGGACTAATTATATCATCTCTTCAGGGAAAACTGAGGTTACAAAAAATATATAAAAACACATTCTCATGGTCATGACTCAGTAGGGGGTGCATACTCACTTGAAAACACATGTGCTGACCTCTCCAGGCATTTCTTCATAAAATAATACAGGCAACGCCCTGCTCTTTCTTTCTGTCTTTTTCAGACTGTGCAGGCAGGGTTCAGCACTCTCTTTTTGTTTCAAGAGAGTCCTTCCTCCCATTTTTGGTCAGCAGGTTCAGATGTAGGCAAACAACTGATTTCCTCTCACAAGAGAAATACAATATTGTTTTAACATCAGATTTTAACAGGCTCAAAATCCTTTTCGGTCTGTTTTGAAAGTGATTATGAAAGACATGAGAACCCTGGAGTGCATTAGCTTAAGGCCATGCCCAGTGTAAATGAAGGGGCAAATAACAGAAACCAGTTAAAATCTGGGGAGGACGGGGAGTGGGAGGTTATACTGGGATCCATGGTGGTGGGAAATGGGCACTGGTGGAGGGATGGGTATTTGATCACTGTATAATTGAAACCCAAGCACAAAATTTGTAAGTCTACAACTGTACCTCATGGTGTCTCACTAATAAAAATAAAAAAAAAAAGCATTACAACAGAAACTGGGCTGGAGCGATAGCACAGCAGGTAGGGCGTTCGCCTTACAAGCGGCCAACATGGCCGACCCGAGTTCGATTCCTCCGCCCCTCTTGGAGAGCCCGGCAAGCTACCGAGAGTATTCGATATGCCAGACACAGTAACAACAAAGTCTCCAATGGAGATGTTACTGGGCCCGCTCGAGCAAATCGACGATCAACGGGAGGGCCTTTACCTTTACCTTTTACAACAGAAACTACAGAAATTCAAAGGATCCTCAGGGAGTACTTTGAGAAACTGTATGCCACGGAACATCAAAACCTCGAGGAAATGTATAAATTCCTAGACTCCTACAGACTCCCAAGGCTGAACCAAGAACACCTGGAATACCTGAACAGACCTATCACCATCAAGGAAATTGAAATGGTAATAAAAAGTCTCCCCAAGCACAAAAGTCCTGGCCCGGATGAATTCACTAGTGAATTCTTCCAAATCTTTAAAGAGGACTTACTCCCAATCCTCTTTAAGCTTTTCCACGAAATTGAAATATCAAAAACACTTCCAAACAGTTTCTACGAAGCAAATATCACACTGATACCAAAAGCAGACAGAGATACCACAAAGAAAGAGAATTACAGACCAATATCCCTGATGAACACAGATGCAAAGATCCTCAACAAACTACTAGCAAATAGAATCCAACTACTCATCAAAAAGATCATACACTATGACCAAGTAGGATTCATCCCAGGGATGCAAGTATGGTTCAAAATTCGGAAATCAATCAACATAATCCATCATATCA